TTGAGAACTGCCCTTGAGAGAACAGCTCTCTCAAGAACTTATGACTGACCCAAGGTCACACCAGCAGCTGCATGTGGAGGAGTGGGGAATCAAACCCAGTTCTCCCAGGTTAGAGTCCACACTCTTAACCACTACACCAAACTGACAAAGAGCTTCCTGGGGCAAGCTGACGGTATTCACCCCAGAAACAATCACTTGATGGTTTTTTTGGAGGTGGACAATGGTTTGAGAGAAGTTTGATGGGTTTACCTGAGGTGGACTATAGGTGTAAATGGTTCTTGATGATTCTCTGTATACTGGATGGGAAAAGCTACTAGGTTTGGTGAATAGTGTACAGTGTTGCTTAATTATGGAGTAAATGGGTAAATGGGTGCAGGAAAGTGAGTCTGGGCGTTGATGAGATTAGTCCAGATTAGTTCTCGGAAGACCCATTGTCTTAAATTATGCGTCTCTCCAGGGTGGGGAGGAGGTCCTCAGCTAGCCAGCTGCTCTTACACTTCTAAACTACATTATCCAGGCTTGTCTCTGTCTGACATCCATTTTGTGTCATTTTGGGCCAGGCAGTGTATTGCACTTATGATATTTGAGATGAGATATATTAGTAAGGGTGTTTTCTAGCTATAAACTTCCCCTCAGTGAGAGGAAGGATATGACTGCGAACAAGACCAGTAGTCCCTCAAGGTCAGCATTGCCTCCTCTGACTGGTAGGAGCTCTCCAGGGTCTCAGGCAGAGAGGGCTTTCCTATCACCTACTTCCTGATCTCTTTAACTGGAGATGACAGGGATTGAAGCAGGGATCTTCTGCATGCCAAGCAGATGCCAAGTAGATTACCTCCTGAGGGCACCTGGTATTTTTGGCCACTGTGTGACAGAGTGTTGGACTGGATGGGCCATTGGCCTGATCCAACATTGGCTTCTCTTGTGTTCTTACGATGCTCTTCCCCTGGGCATCACCCCCAGTTCATTCAAAGTGTAGATTTAATAGCTGTTCTTGGAAGTCTATATATTGCCTTTGCAAAGAAACGTTACATGAAGACCAAGAAAAGCCTCAGGATGTGATGCTAGACATGAAGCCTCAGGATGTGATGCTAGACATGAAATTCTTTATTTGCCCTGTTATTTCAGGTCCTTCGAAGTATAAAGCAGTTTGGAGTTACAAAGGCCTCCTATTGAGCTTGGTTGGTGGCAAAATGATTGCATCTTTACTGATTTCAAAACCCGCTATTTCCCTGCAGCAGCCACTCACTGCTGTTACTCACAACAGACTCCACATCCCAGGGCAGATTCACTTCTCATTTCCATTTGAGGTGTGGATGGTGTCAGCCCATTGGTTGGAACTTGATGAGTCAAGGCTGTAAACAGATTCACCAGGAAGGAAACTCCTCTTCCCAAAAAACATTGGCAAATTTCCTGTTACTGAACTTCCTGAGAAGCCCCCACATAGCCGGTTTTAAATGGGCTTTCCTCTATTACGTAAGATATTTCTCGGCTACCTTTTAATTATTACAATAGTTAAAAGGTAACGGTTTCCCTTGCTCACAAGCCAGTCGAATCCGACTCTAGGGTTGTGGTGTTCATCTCCATTTCTAAGCCAAAGAGCCAGTGCTGTCTGAAGACATTTCCGTGGTCATGTGGCCAGCATGACTAGATGCCAAGGCGCACAGAATGCTGTTACCTTCCCACTGAAGTGGTACCTATTTATCTACTTGCAATTTCTTGCTTTTGAACTGCTAGGTTGGCAGGAGCTGGAACCAGAGACGGGAGCTCACTCCATCATGCGGCACTCGGGTCTCAAACTGCTGAACTACCGACCTTCCAGCCTGCAGTTTAGCATCTTAACCCCTTGAGCCACCAAAGGCATAAATTAGGAAGCGACAATTTAAAACAATATTTAAGATGTATAATGCCAGACTAGGTTCTGGGAGACCCAGGCTTGAATCCTCATTTTGCCAGGGGTTCGAACTTTGGGCCAACCCCTCTCTCTCTCTTCCCCCCCTTCCTCCTACCTCACAGGGTTGTTGTGAGGATAAAAGGGATGGGAGAACCATGGATCCTTCCTTGAGCTCTTTGGAAAGAAAGATGGGATTAAAGTGCACAGGCAACAAATCTAAAACATAGATCATCTAAGACAGTCCCCAGCCTTAGAAAAAGCAGTAAAAACGGTATCACTTTCAAGCTAATAAATAAAGATAGCAAGCCTGGATATAACAGCAGGTAAGCAATAAATAGTTAGACTGGCAGTACAGATTTTTAGATGACTAAAAATATTAAGTTCTCTGTAACAGAACAGTTTTCTTATATCCCCAGGAGACCATGAAGTTGAGGAGGCTCAAAAAACCTCCTTTGGCAGGGAGTTCCACAGTCTGGGAACACAGCATGTGACTGGCAGTCTGACCTCTGTTAGTGCCAGAGGAAGGCATTGGCTCCCTTGGGCATCTTTTGACCCTTGGGTATCTCCCCCCTAGTTCTGAAAGTGTTTTGAAACCATGTTCTTCTGTAGACGTTACCAATCTCGAGAGTATCAGCAAAGCTGCTAAGCAGGTGCAAGAGCATGTCGGAGAAAGTGGGTTGACCCTGCTGGTGAACAATGCCGCCCTTCGGCTGAATGGCGACCTGGAGACCGAGACGGCTGAGCAGATGGCGGCGACGTATGCTACCAACACTATTGGGCCTCATCAAGTGAGCCAGGTAAGTGCTCACTTCTGGTGGACTGGGAAACCTTTTCCCTGCGATTTCCCTGGCAGAAGATAAACTTCGTCCCTTGGTGCGAATCAGCAGCTCAATATCTTGTACTGAAAGCCAGGTTGCATAGCTAAATGGGCATATTGAACATGGTCTCGCAACCCTTGGTGAAGCTAAGCAAGTCTGACTAGTGCCTGGGTGGGAGACCACTTTGGAATCATCGTCTAGGCTGCCCAGTTCCACACAAAGGCTAAATGAGAAATAATTCCCATACAGCGAGCTCCATTTGTGTATTTTGAGGTCACTCCCCTTGCAATTTCAGGTTATGCCACTAGAGGGGGTGCACGCACTTCCTCCACATTAAAGAGGCGCGAGAAGGGTCGAGGAGCCCCACAGCTTTTTTAAAGACCACCTCCGTAAGGGTCTCCTGATCTAGTTCAGATTAGGGGGCTCCTTAGAGTGCTACAGAACTCTCCTTGCACTGAGCCAGCATGGTGTAGCATTTAGAGTCCTGAACTAGGATCTAGGAGGAGGACCAGGTTCGAATTCCCACTCTGATGTGGAAGTTTGCTAATTGACAATGGGCCAGTCACACACACTCACTTTCCCTTTTTCCCTCCCTCACAGGTTTGTTAGGATAAAACGGAGGAGGGGAGCCGATCCAACCCATTGTGGGTCCCTGTTGGAGAGAAAAGTATGGGATAAATTTGAAATCCAGCGGGATACAGTGGTTAGAGTGTTGGGCTAGGACCCAGGAGACCCAGATTCAAATCCCCCGTTCTGCCATGAAAGCTTGATGGGTGACCTTGGGCCCGTCACACCTACCTCACAGGGCTGTTGTGAGGATAAAATGAAGGAGAGGAGAACAATGTGAGCTGCTTTGGGTCCCCATGGACGAGAAAGGCAGGGGAGACACGCAGTAAATAAATAAAGGATGGTTCCTCCTCCCATTCATTTGGTAGCCAAGGGTGCCCATGGAAAGGTTAATGGCATAAGGGGCAGCAGGACCTCAAAGGCCTTCTAACTATATCACATAAATGAAGCACTTGTACTTCCTGCATCAAGCAGGGGGTTGGACTAGATGGCCTGTCTGGCCCCTTCCATCTCTGTGATTCTATGATTCCCCTCTGTACTTTGTGTCAAACGATGCCATCTGAAAACGGACATTCTGATTCCTAAGCCTGTGTGCTGATGTTTCCAGCTGCAGTGGCAAATTGGCAGTACGTGGCCACTCTAAAAGCATCTCTGACACGTAGGTTCAGGGCTA